ATTTAATCGAACCCAATTTATCGCCACTTGAGGCAGTCTAATTTCACGGTGTCATGTGCTATCAAATGTTCGAAATGTAATTCGATGCGTCTCGTACGTATATTTTAATCTTTCCATTGCAAGGGAATCGTTCAATAACTCACTGATACGTTCAACCGGTTGATTCTCAGGACGCTTATACTGACGTTCAATTCTTTGGGAACAAAATAGATAAGCTCCAGCGCGTTCATGAGGTTGGTATGCCGCCTTTGCATTGAGGTAAAGTTTGTTTAATTCCCAATAATATCTTGATCCAGCTTCAATCGAAATGAGTGAAGTATTCACGATAGAGTGAAAACCTTTTCTACTGATGTTATTGAATCTCTCATTCAACAGAGTTTCCTCAACGTATTCGCATCTCAGTTCAATCACTACTGAAAATTCAACATGACCGCTTTCTTCCTCATTTCGGAAATGAGCACCCACAAGCTCCTCAAGATCTTCCAGTTCGTAGACAAGTCCTTCATACTCGTTGTTAGATTCCATTGGCGGATTTAAATTATCATTATTTTCGGGTAGTGGATAATGGATTGTATCTTGTGTTGTATCTTCAACAGTCAGATTCGCGCTCATGGAACTCTGTCTTTTCTGATAAGAACAATGATTGCATATTTTGAACGAACCAGTTTTGTACCACGAGATCGCATAAAATTATCGATTGACTTTATCACTCTACAACGCGTGCGTCGTCTTCTTTCAGGAACGTTCTTGTATCTATAAATTATCGAAAGATAAATACTTAGCTCATTGCATCTGGAAACTAAACATCACCATTAGCGCCTGATTGATTCATTGGATTGCCTTGAGCCGCCATATTAATATTGGGAAAGTGAGAATAAATCGAATGATTAAAATTTTTTGAGTAATAAATAGTGGTTTATGTAATAATTTATTGATGTTGTGTTTCTTTATGACAGTTGCAGGGATTCGCTCCTCTTATATAATCGTTTGTTGGATATATAATTATACTTTGATTTACTAATTAACTTGTAGACTTAGAGGCGTTTTATATCCAAACATGGAAATCACTAAATTATCGAAACACAAAATAGATAATACCAAAGACTTATAGGCGTATCGGACAATTCAATTTACATTATTCTTCACTAATTAATGGATTCTGCAAGACTTGTAGGCGTATGGGGACAGTTCAATTACACTACTCAATGGATTTTAATTTGCAAGACTTGAGTTCAATTACATTATTGTTCACTAATTAAAGACTTTTGTGGGTGTATGAACAGTTCCATTACATGATTGTTCACTAATCAATGGGTCTTGCAAACCTATTCAATGGATGCTTTATGTTTTATGCTTTATTATTCATTTATAATTTTAGGTTCGAATTAGTACACATAAACCCTATTCTCATTTCAGCAAATATAGCTTTTAATTAGAAAGACCATATGTACACCTTCATTAAAGAACGCAAACCTTCTCATCTTAATATCGGAGAATAATCTAGATAATATGTTACTGGATTTTGATAACACAAGTCTATAACTAAAATAAGGAGTTAATGAAGTTAACAATACAGTAATACCGTATAGTTCCGAAATAAGCACCCCCTTTTAATTATAGGCGTGCTTATTTTCGGAGGTCACAATATTGTGTAACGAAATTATATGTAATCACATGCATGGGAAGGTGCTTATTTTCGGAGGTAAAAATTTGGGGGAGGTGCTTATTTTCGGAACTATGGTAGTAATAAAAAGGATTAAGTCATGAGGCTCGTACAACAAAAAATTCTGCCCAATAATTTATTGAGGCTTGTGTGGCTTTAGATCACGGGGCTGCCCTTTTTTCGGCATATCAAATAGTCAAATGGAGGAACGCATATCCCAAACGCGTTTATTTCTTTGTGAAATATATCACTGACGGGACCATATGGCCAAGGGAGGGAAAATATAGTGCCTGCACTTAGAGACGGTTGTGTGGTTTTCTTCCACGGCAATCTACTTTAGATATTTTCGCGCGCGGATATTAAGCTGCACTTAGGGAGAGTCCACTGTAGTGCGATAATCCACCATCACTTACTAAAAACTTTACTCATCATCTAAAAAGGTATGAAGGTTAATGCAATAAACTTCTTTTTTTGCGATCCTGGCCTTTACCTTTTGTTCATTCCAAATAGATACATAAATATTTCGAACGAAAAGCGGCGTCAGATTGGTTATTATCTCTCGAGTTGATAGCCAGTACTGAGAATGGCCAAAGGCGCAAAAAGCGTTGGAACTTCAAAAACTATACAGACAGGCAAGTATTAAAGTTTTTTGCGCGAAAGAGTAAATGGAGTGATAGGAATCTTCGTGCTCTTTATCATTCAAGTCTTCGTGCCGAGCCACAAAAGCAGTGTTGGGACCAGGTGACCTTCGTGCTTGCCTGATGTTTAAAAGTCTTCGTGCCTACTGACACTGTTAGCCACAGGTGACCTTCGTGCTTGCTTGATGGCAAAATGAAAGTTACATAGTAATAAAAGTTAGATGGAATGAAAACATGTCAGTTAAGGATACTTCCCTAAATTTATTACTTTAGGGCAATCGACCGGATAAAAACGAGCGAAGGAATGGGATGATAAACGTTCATGTACGGGGATTCTCCAATTGTAAACAAGGCGGTGAACGGAAATAGTATAAATGGAACTATAACAGGCGATGTAAAACTTATTTCAAAAAGGAACAATCGGGAAGAGGTAAAGATGCGTAGCATTAACTAAATCTATTAATTTGCGTTTGTTCTTAATGAATTACAATTTTAATCCTTAGAACAATTCCAAAAGAACAAAATTTAATAATATCTCAGAATGATAAGCCGATATTAGGGTCAGCAGATTCGAAATGAATCAAGGGTCATCATCTGTTCACATGTATTTACATATATAGATATTGACCCTGGATATTATGATGTCAAGAAAAAGTATGATCAATGTTTTACTCATGCTTTCTGAATCTGGGTGCTAACCTAGAGGTCCTAACTAATTTTGATATAACATTTAGGACGAGTTTGCTACGTTAGATCAAAGTTGATATGATTTAAGAAAAAAGCAAAAAGTAACCATGAAGAGGATGCATCAAGAATCGGACACTGCTACAGTTATACGACGAATTTAATAATAGCATTTAAATAGCGATTTACGTATTACGATTAATATTATTAGTACGTCAGATGATCACTTAAATGTATTACACAAACATGTAAATATCTGACGTAAATTTAGTGACGTGAATCAATATTTTAGCAATAGCTCCATTTAGATTTTAGAATAGCTATACCGCAGTAGCAATTTAGATATATAAACAACCAAAGTTCGAATAGTTTCTGTACCTTTCCACTTAGGATTTGGTCGAAGGCTTCAACGGAATAATGGAATAACTCTTACAGTGGAAGAATACTTATAGGATCGAATAAATACGATGGAAAACAATTAATAAACTTACGATTGGAAATATTCAACTGGCGTTCACTATGATCTCTAATGGCACAAATTCAGTCTGGTAATCTCTAGCTTTCGGCATACACTGGACTTATTAAAGTTTACAGCGTCGAGAGCTTAATCAGTTGTACGAACGATTATCGATGAAATCCCAGCAACGTTCTCAATAATACGCTCGTACAACAATAATGTGGTTCCACTTTGAATAGGCTCAAGAGGAAATTATGCCAGAAAGTATAGAAGACGAGATTGAGAACAATAGGATTTTCCAAAGTTCATATTCCTGCTTTTCTTCTGGTGATATTTCTCTAACTCCACTCCCACATCAGTATATGCTATCAGTAAACATGGATCTCAGTTGACCTTTTTTATTGCATTCTGGTAAGAAGATTATATGAGGCAGACTGCAACAAAACCAGACAAAGTGAACAAACTAATGGCTAATGTGGCTGGAAAATAGCTGAAAATTTTGGTGAGGCTTTGGTACGATACAGAAGCACAGTGCACAGCCACCTTCAACAAACTTCTATCTAAGCATTATAACACCAACTATATGCCGCGGACGTTCCTGGTACAAGTTACAGAACTGATGATGGTGTCACCATCATCAGTTCATACTGTTTTATCATTGTTGAAGCTAAGCAAGGGATTGGCTTACAAAAGTAAGATCCACACTGATATTCTGACACCTGTTCTCCCACTCTGCTGGTATTAGTATCAACACAATGTTGTCATGGCGAAAATGGCTGCACGGTTCTTTGGAGCCTTCAAGAAGGCCATAGAGAAACTTGAGAATTACTACTTGCATGAATCAGAAGCAGCTAGATGCGTTTGACAGCAGTGTGGATGGTTATTGTCATTAATATTAATGTTGCATGTAGTGGTCTTTTTTGCTGATGTAGATGTATTGACTCTAAGAGAAGGAGAAGGAAGTAGAGGGGTAACTCTATTGCAGTTGTTTCAGCACTTGGTTTTTAGGCTTGGGTTTCAGTGGTTTGGTCAAGCGACAGTTGACGATGCAAATCTTGGATGTTTTTGCATTGATTTTTCATTATTGGAACTTTTTTCTTTGTTTAATCAAGCCATTTTTTAAGAGAGTTGTCTGTTCTACATTGAAACCACGCTTGGCAAGAGGTAAAGTGTCAAGTCTGTATGCATGCACTTTCACTTGGATGCGAAAAGACATATGTATTGTCAGTGGTGTAATATTATTGGCATGATCAACATTCATTTTCAAAAATTCTCGAAAAGCTCAACTGAAAATTTATAATCAGTGCTTGTGACACAAATCCCATGGTTTTTGAAGAACATCCTTACAGAGCTGGTCATTGTAATTTTGACACTTCCCAAAAAACTTTTCCCGGCAAGTTTTCATTAGGATTTCCCTTTCAAATTTTCTGTGCAGAGCAATCTTAGTTCATCAATAATACATATGGTGTGTTAAATTTTGGCCGCGCTACAGAATCTTGCAAAGTGCCATAGATTGTTATCATAATCAATTTTCTGTCCCCACAATATGCCATCACTCCTATTTGCATCGTTTGTCCTTTTTCTCTGCATCCTTTTTCTCGGGAGTATCAAAACAAGACAGAAGACAAACTATTTGATGTGGTGGTGTAAGACGTGGGTCATTGTCGCATGACCTTTGAAGAGCTTCTAGCCCGTCTTCATTGTTGTCGTCATTTCCCATAATCTCGATGGTGTCGCAAACGATTTTCTGCACAAATTAAATATTAGTATTAGTAACCATGCATATTAATTAGTTTTGCTCGTACATGACATAAACCTTTGCCTTCCACACAAGCATGATAACAGGAAGGACTCTTTTGCCGAACTCGCTCACAGTTGATGGAATTCTCAACAAATTTGAACGAGAAATTCGGCAAATATAGCCGGTGGGAGAATCTAATGTCAGTAGCAGTACTGATAGTCCTAAGGAAGTCAATAAATTAGTTAAAGTTTGCAATGTACGTATGTATATCAATTGCACACCTGCATGGATGAACCCGACAGTCCTAAGCTTTCGGACAGTGTTTTCATTTGTTTGCCCTGCGCACAAATCATCGAATTGATCCTTCATAACTTTGGGCGTCTTGAGGCCCCTCTCACGTAGAATCTTTGTTCCATTGTTCCCACTGAACAGCCTCCCTGCTTCTCCACAACCAAACTCTTTGGACATTGTACGAATTATTAAGTCGCCTCGGCGAAGCGACAGCACGATTCCTATTCTTTCGTGAGCTCGATGCACGACTTGAGCATTCCCCCCTATTGCAAAAGGATTCAATGCAATGATCAAATTTATAATGATAATAATAAAGTTCTGTCTCACCTTTCAACTTCGATGCCATCAACATTTTGGAATGCTCGGTCAACAAGTGACCACACGTGCAAGTTCAACCAAGCTTCTGAATGGTCTTTGTCAAGGCTCTTAGCTTCATACAGACGAAGCCTGTACAGACAAAGCATGATTAAAATTCAGTGCTCTCTTTTTAGGTCAAAAAATGATTTTTGCACCTACAGGTTATCAACCGTATTTCTGATCCAGTCCCGGTCGAAGTCCCGCTCTCGGTTGTACGCAGATTTCCAGGACTCGGAACAGAAAAGCAAATCTTTGAGATCAGATATATTGGACTATAAAATGTGTTATAGAAGGAAGTTCTCAGTAATCTGTAAATATACCAAGGTATGTATCATGGAAAAAAAAATAAATACCTTTTTGTAATTCACGAGATATGCAAGCAGATCTTGCGGCATGTTTGGGAGTGCCTGCCGTCGGTACGTACGTATCTCCTCTATCTCCGATTTCGTGAAGACCTTTTCATTCATAAGGCTCGCATCATCCGGATCGATGATAAACGAGTGACACAGACTTTGGACATGTTTGTGTGTATTAATTGACAAATAACCCAATTAAACGATCAGCACTTACTGTTCATGAGTGCACTTCAGGCCAAATTTGTACAACTGATCCTCAACTACTTTTCCCGACGACAGCACCCATTTTTTTGTATCGTCCATCTGCTCATACGCTTCTTTAAACCTAGTGATGTCCACATGCGACATCTGAACTTCGCCATCATCCGTTGCTAATTCGTTTTGATCACGTTTTAGCTGTCAATGAGAAATGTTTTAGTGGAGAATGATCATTAATTATATGTTGACTGTTTTGGTCGATATCAATGCTATCGAGAGAATTTTTGTGATGTTAGGACGCGAAATCTTACGATTTGCCGTGGAGAGAGTTCAGTATCTGAAAGTTGTTCCATTAGACGTAGCTTTTTTGGCGTTGTTGCACTCAGATCACTAGCCAGCACGCCATTTTGTTGATTGCGAGCTGTGTCCAATAAATCCAATCCATCGATCTGTGATTTACGCTTAACAATAGCCTTGGGACAAACAAGTGAACATAAATATAACAGGACATATGATAGTCAACAATTATACTAATTACCTGTTTTTCTGCCAATTCTATCTCTAGATCAAGATTTCTCCAAAAGAACGTGGTATCAGATTTCTTCTGGAAAATGTTGGTAAATTAACTATTGCAGCAACCCACAGCCTTCGTGCCATATCCCTATTGTCACACCAAGGAACGAAACCCCATATCTCAAGGAGGGACGAAACCCCCTCTCGACTGTGTGCAATACTGAAAAACTGTGACAAGGAACGAAACCCCATGTCTCAAGGAGGAACGACACCCCCTCTCGATTGCACAGCTTTCCACGTCTGACACATTCAGGTTGCGGGAATTCATACCTGGTTTAACAAAAACTTTGCTACTCTCTGTTGTTCCATGCACAGATCATTCTGCGAGCTTTGCTTATCATCATTCACGAAAGTCTTCAAACAGGTGTTGAATTTCTTCCGCCACAAGAAATCTCGGTCTTCAACCGAACCTCGACCACCGGCGATGCAGAAAGGCTTCATGGCCTCCAGAAAGCCTTGATATGACCAGCTTGAGACTTCCGTTTCCTCGAAGTAGTCACTGGCTGCTGCTTCTAAACAAATTTAATTGGTTGGTGTCTATTTTACGATTAATAGATAACAACTTTTAACTTACCATAAAATCTTTTCGTAAAAGCAGACATTGAGACGTGTGCAGACGAAAGGTATGCCGCTCGCGTGTGATATTATCAGGTGGCACGGACGCGCGCCGAACATTTCACGGGACTTGCAATCCACTATGATCAAATGTCTGTGTACCGTCAAACCATTCCGTTCAAACGGAAATTACATGCCCACGTAACTAGCAACTAGCTTTTCACCTCATAAAGAAAAACGCACTGCTGGCTCTGGACTACACACAGGAACTTTAAATATCTTCGTAAGTGTTTTCTGTCTCAAACAATAAAGGCTCTTGCAAAGCGTCTTTTGAGAGCGTTTTTACAGATTCTTTTACAGTTTTTGGAGATAAGCAAGAGAGAACTAAACTCTGAATAGTTCCGACTTTAAACAACTTTTTTAATTATTACCACTTTGTTTATTACAGCAACTATTTTCGAGAAAAGAGGGAAGGAAGATTTCGTAAGTAGTACATATATATACGTATATGGGTAAAGCGAGAGTGCAATGCGGAATCTGTGACTATTCTGTTAGCAGGCCACTAAAGTCACCCTTATATGTTTTGAAGCACAACTTACTACAACTGCAACAGCTACAAAGAATTTATGTAAGTACCAAGCTGTAGTCCTAATTTCGTTGACGAGGGTTAGTGTTAGGGTTAGGGTAGATTGCAAGAGCGTTCAAAATGGATTCTTTTACAAGTTGTATTTTGAAACTTAACATATTTGTTGGATATTGCTATTGCATGTGACTAAATATGATTATGTATTATTTTTGGTTGTGGCTATTTATATTACTATTAGTGATTGATGACGAAAATTGATTTCGCGTCTTTGAAGGATCAAGCCAGCCGTTTACGCATATTCAAATTGTACTTAATATTCTGCCTCAATTTTTCGCACACACATTGGCAACAGTTACCTTTAACATACATGTAGATTATATGAGCATTGGATTATTGGTTGCCGATTTAGTGATGCTAGCGATTGAGATCGATTTCGCGTTTTCACAGACCAGTATAAGTATTAGTATTACAATGGATATTTTAATGAAAAAATTAGTTTTCGTTTTTTTATTTATTATAGCTGGGAATTAGGAATGAGGAGACTCATGCAGAAATTAATAATACAATAATAATAAAGAAGAGGACTATCCACCCACCCCTCAATGCCCTTATAGTATTACATTTCACATGACCATTATCGTTATAATAATAATTGTGCGACGAATATTAGTATAAGTCACATGAGTATTCACCGTTGATAATTTTTATTATTATCGCTACATATTAAAATACATCAATGGAATTTGTTGACGTTCCAGGAAGACTCGGGTTCATTTTTAGGCGTGCTGGGAGTCACAAAATGGTCGATATTATAATCAATACTCATTGCATCAGGGTCTTAGGTCTGTATTTATATCAGTATCACCCTTTCGGATGGGAAGGGCCAAATTTCTTTTTTCTTTCGAGAGATCCCGCAGTTGATTAGAAACGTTATAGACATATTCTCGAAAGCCCGCTTTTCTTTTGTCGAGTCAATGAGAAAGAATTAATTCCAGAGTTTAATACAAAATTGAAAAAAATCTGATATTATTCTTTTGGAGGGATTTTTGCAAACCGTAGCCAGCGATATACAAAATCCTTCAATTCCTCTAGACTTTCGAAAGGTTTTAAAGGTATTGTAAAACTCTCTAGCACACGTACCCGATAATATATGCAATAAGGCCTATCTAATACCGCGATCTTAACCTCAAAGCAATGGACTTGTATCATTAATACAGGCATATCACCCATTCCTCTCAGAATTCTTTACCTTCAATAGACCTATTCAGTGTGCCTGATTGACCCTTTGTTATGATATTGAAAATTTGAGAGTGTGCATCCTTGCACATGTGTACCAACTTAACCCAATCACAAATAAACTTTGAAACATCAGCTTCAGGCTGAGAAAATAATATTTCCAGGCTTGCATTGTCAGGTAGTGGCAGGGTTGTTTGATATGCATGTCAGGTTTATGATGCCTTGTCAATGCCTTACTGATCTCCTCAGCCCTGTAAATACATTGTGTAATACAACTTAGAAATATATTCTAATTCTTAGATATTAACATGAACGAGATAATATTATAATTATTTATATTTATATTTACCATCTCATATTTATCTTACAAGCCATCTCTCTGTATTCAAACAGTTGTGAAACAATGTCCACAACATAAGTTCCTTTGTTGTACTTTTTAACGTCATTTACATCTGATATGACGCCTATAAAATAAATCAATATTAATATAAACACAAAAGCCATTGCTACTATAAAAACATCAACCTATAAATTTGACTTACAGATTTTCCAAAAATGTGTGTGTTGCATGAACCTGCATCTTTGCATAGTTATCAGCAAAAACTTTAGTATTAGTATTAGGCATTGTGACAGCTTGGATCATAGTGACATTACCACAGACATCTGACACATTGAAATTATGGTGTCATGAATGCCTGGATATTTGTATGCCTCAGGGCAGCAGCTAATACTAAGACAAACTACTGTTTCGTCTTTAGTAATCATTCTTCTCCAAAAACTGTCACACCCACTTGTATCAAGAATGCCACATGAAATGGGTTGTAGCAGATTAACTACTTCTCTGCTTGTATGCATCTCATCAAGTACTTTACAAAAGATGACAAGTTAACAAGCTATCTGTAGAAGAAGTTTGGATAGTACATTTTATGTGTGAGGATAATTCAACCCAAAAGCCCTATTATTCATCTAATGCAAACTTTGCAGACTTAATATTGTACACTTCTTGCATGATGAAGAGTTGTGAACGGCGATTTGATCAAGTGATTTCTGCGGTACTGAGATAGAGTAGTACAGGATGATGATCAACATCG